TTCATGTTCATTTAATTTAAGTCATACATGGTTACCTATGCTAAAATCTGAAGTAGACCAAAGAAACATACACCCAAATTAAATTTACACCAAAATAATTAATTAACATTACCTTTATTAATTTAAACAATGAGATCAAGTCACATACCTGACAATTTGCACAGACGAATTATCAGAGCGAATTTCCATATATTGTATTATCCTACTATTGTTACACAATTTATTAACATACTCTTTTTTTAGTTCATTTAGGTTCTTTTGATAACGATAGCAGAAAATAGCTATCGAAACGTCAAGGTAATTTTTCAAACTAATTTCTCTACTAATTGGAATTTTCTCTTACAGCTTGAGCCTAAGTGTGTCGCAGGATACCCTCTAGGTGATAGTTCTTGATAAATAATTCGTTCTCATTGCGAAATAGGAGCACTATTTATCAATCTGTAATAAAAGACGTGAGGAAATTCTGTCTCAAAAAATTTTGAGGCAAAATACCCAAAAAGAAGTTTGTAAAAAATGAATCCGCCTCAACAATATAGAACTTATCTACAACATTAGAAACAGTTGTGGTTTTATTTTATTTGTTACCTTTTCTACTAAAACCTGAAATAAGAAAGTATTCGATTATCTTGCGTATTCAATTTTGCTTTTTAAATATTAATTCATAATTAATCAACAGTTTAAAATATAAAACAAAGTTACCAAGGCAAATGTATTTGCTTAACATCCGTCCGATTATGCCTAGATGGTTTCCAAATAATTAAACTATTATCACTGTTGTTTTGATGTTGGGCAAACAATGCGTGAACGTTTCTCACCAATTACCAACATTTCGTATCACTAAATGGTACTCAACGCTTTAATTGCCAATTTAATCAACGGAAGCAACGTTGTGGAAAAGACATACTTAGTAAAATACACTTGGACAATAAGGCCATAAAAATTATGTAAAATAATGTTGCAGACCTGATGTGAAAATAAATCTAACGTTGCTCAAGATGCCACAGAGAAATTCCTAAATATTAATAGGAAATGTATACCTGCATAAACTAGAAAATATAAGTATATTTTAAAACATTTAAAAATGCTTAATTCAGTTGCCAGCGCTTAGTATTAATAGGAATAATTATATAAACAACTGGAATTACCACCAACACATTGATTTGATCAATTAGCTAATCAAGTTTGATTAACTAACATTTTAAAATACCTGAGAATCGAAGCATGAAAACATCAACATTTATGCGTATTTTAAATTATCAATTTCGCATGCATCAGTGAGCTGAAATTTCTCCATCGAGGACACTTTGTTCTTTTTAGAACAATTATATGTCTAGTAGATAGTTATCTATCTTTTCGGTTATGCAAGTTGTTATAACATTAATGCTTGCCTTTCAACCTGTTGAACATATTGGAGTTGCGCTATTATCATATCTAAACATAAGAGAACAATGGTTAAATAAGTGAAATTAAAGCATACGAAGCATTTAAGAAGAATTTTTTACCTTATTAAAGTTGATGAATTTGCCGCAGCAAAGGTTTTGGTTTAGTTGATGGATCTATTGTGAAAATTCACTTATGAATGCCAATTATGAAACAGGCTGACGAAAGGAAAAATTATTGCGATATTTTAAGAAAGTAATATATTTTTTAGACGTGCTTTATATGCTTGGTATTTTTCGTTTGTTTTGCACTTTTTTACTTTGTAAAATTCTCTTTTATCATAAGCTCAATTCTATTCTATTATTCTAGAGAGTAATTATAAAAAGTTTGTTAATTATTTTTGTATTATAACAAATATTGATTAGTTCCTTTCATCCATATAAAAATATATAAAACTGCAAATAAACTTGAACTTGTTTTGAAATTTTAATGTGCCTTTGGGCATGAATTTTACAGAGACTTTTCTGTAATGAATCATTTTAGTGGAATAATTTAAACTTAGTTTAGATTTTCTAAGAATTCATTTATATTTCTTAGACTCATTTCTTAGAATTCATTTATATTTCTCAGCAAGCAGCATTTTGGCGATTCAATTTTAGAGCATAAAAAATCCAATTTTATTAGAAGTTTGGAGGCTAATTTTTTATATTTCCTTGTCCGTTACTAGAGAAAAGCGAAGTTTAACTAAACTTTATAGCAGAGCGTCTGTGGAACGAACCACAAAAGTTGCACTGTTGAGTCAAAACAGAATATTTAATGAGTTAACTAAGTAACTTCTTGCTTCTGATTTCCACGTAATTTTTTGCAGCCCACGTTCATTTTAAGCTCATTCCATTCTGCAACATGCCCTTGACGGAATATCGAATTTTAAGACCCAAAAATTCCTTTATTACTCTCCTTAAACTAAGAGAATCAGGCATTTTAAACACAGCTTTTTTAATTTTTTCTCCGTCCAATCGAAAAAAACCTTTGCCAGGTAGGCAAAACCTGCACTTCCCCAACCGATAAGTAGAGAAACTCCATGAATATTTTTAAAACTGATATATTCTTGTAATATTATTATAATATACAGATGAGACAATACTGCGATGATCTTAAACTAGAGCTTAGTTATGTACAAACGAATTACGAAAAATTAAAGGTCAAGCGAAGTCGTTGAGCCGTAAACCCGAGTCACGCGTACAAAATACAAATTAAATAAAACACTACACATATCAATAAAATAAATACAATAATAATTTGCATTCTGTAGGCTAATGGCAGTTTAAGGCATTTTGAAATGCAGGGCAATTGAGGATTGATTAGCCTTTGAGGTAGCCATAGGGAGATGCTAAGGCTGGAGCTGCATAAGAAGGTGGAGCAGCAATTACTTTATGAGCAACGCCAATCGGAGTAGCTGGATGAGTTGCATGACCAGTCTGAAAAAAAACCTTCAAATTTTCACCGTTTAAAACTTTTAGAATTTTTTTACTCTGGTCACAACCGCGTTGAATCCTGAGTGATCATCAGCAGTGTAGGTAACAGTCCTGATTGTTCCATCAGCTTCCACCAATGAGTACTGGCCTTTCACCACATCTCCATCTCTAATTTCCGATTGGGATTTTTGGTCTCCAGTGTGTCCATCAGCTACTCCATATTTGAATTCGTATTTTGGATAAGCCTAAAAATGCATCAGATTTTCTAAAAAAATGTTTATACCAAGGATAAGCGAAATTTAATAAATTTTTCAAAACTGTGCTGAATTTTTGCACTTTTTGCTCTAGAAACTTAAAAGTTAAATAAGCACTAGATTTGTCACTAATTATACGAAACGTAGCTCCAAAGCGCAATAATTAAGTATTGCAAAATAATAATGTGTTTTAGTTTATGCAATAATCTAAAATATGGATATACCGAATGTTTGGCCCAGCCTATGTATTTCGTCACATTGAACTAGATACATGAAAAATACAATTATGGCTGTTAGGACTTACTGTTGACAACAAGTTGGAATTAATTTGTCTCGATAAATGTGAATATTTTTAATTTTTTGAAAACAATTTTTTTTTAAATTGACAACAACACTTCTTTGAAACGCAATTTTGAAATGTTTGAAACACAATTTATTATCGAGCGTCAAGAGAAAATGTAATAAGACAAAAGTGATTTCAACTGGTTATCGGAAAATTTTCTTACACCTGCAAAATCGGCTTGGTAAAGGCAAGTAGACGCTAAATAAAAAAATTGATCCCAAGACAGTTTACAATCATTTAACCAGGTGCCAGCACTAAACTAGGAGAAAAACATTGCAAACTACTACACATTGAAGCCAATCCATTCACTTTTAATTTCCAAAGTAACCACAGATCGCACCAGCAATTCCGATTTGTCTGCAGAATTCTCCGCTGCATGGCGAAGGCGACCGCAGGAATAGTCAGCGACTTTAATAAGCAAAATAATTTTATTTTCAGCTAAAACTATATATTTTTCTATTAGTTTATATTTGAATGTAGGTGAAACTTCCGTGTTCAGTGAGCTTTTGCATTTTTACGTTACCACACCTTTCCTTCAATCTTTACCTCTAAAGAAGCTTTTTCAAAACACTCACGGAAAACAATATAACACATTAAAAAATCGTTTCTAATAGAAATCTTTCCTGTATCAAACTGGCGGCCAAAAATGCTGATTTTGCAATTAAACTCACTTACACACCTTACAACTTATACATTATTTACGGAGAAAACAAATTTCAGACAACAGATGTTTACCGGTATTCAACGTTCGCGATAATCCCCATTGAAACCTCATTGAAAGTGAAAATGCGAGAAGATCGCGGACACATTTCTGGTTCTTTAACAGCTTGAACGCATCAGCCTGTGGGTCAAGAGCTGGGCATTTTGCCGACCCGATGGGAGAGTGAAAACACATCAACTTGTAGCCCATAAAATTTCGGATTTTAATACTTACCACGTAATCTACTGAGGGAGCAACAGGAGCTGCTGCTTTTACCAAAGTAGGGCCATATGGGGCAGCAACAGCGGCTGGGTTTAGGTAAGTAGGAGCAATGGCTGGGTAAGACGAGTAGGCTGAGTAAGCTGGATAGGAAGGAGGGAGCGATAGAGCAGGGCCATGAGCGGCGTATCCATAGCTTAAAGCTGGACCAGCAGGAATTAGACCAGCTTTCGATGAAGCGATGAACGCCACAAATGTGATAAGCTTTAACAGAAACAGCGATGAACAACTTAAAAAATGTTTAATCAGGTGTATCAATACCAGCGCTTTAAATGGTCAGGAGTAATGAAATGAAACGAGCGAGTAATCATGGAGCCTCGACCTAGACTTACTTCATTCACAAACAAAACCGTTTCGGTTCAGTTACAAGAGCCAGATTTAATAAAATGTGAAATAGCAATCGATTTATTTATATCGAAAATGGTTTTTCTAGGTCTGGGACAAATTAGTTTGAATTTAAAGTTACGTTTCTATACATAAAAGTGAAGGAAAAGCTAGACTTTTTTTAAGAAATTGGAAGGAGCTTTGGTGAGATATTGACTGTTCTTACGAAAACCTGTAGATTTTTAAGTCCATTGTTGTTAATAACATAGAAAAGTTTGAATAAACAACTATACTACCTAAAATTAATTAGTGATTACTTGAATAGTTTTCAACAATTCATGTATCTGGTTTTTGTTTTAAAATCCAACTTCAATTTGCTTTTTAGTGTAGCTTTTTGTATATGAATCCCTAATAATTCAGCAAGTCTTCAAAGTGGACTTTTAACAGCTTCATAAGTTAAGATTAGCATATTTTTTTCACTCAATAGAAAGTTTTGTTGAAATTGGAAGCTTATAACCAAATGGTATTCGCTGATCAGTTAAACGGCCAAATTTCATCTGAAAATTAAAAATTTTAAATACAAAATTAGTGCTATACTTGAACAACGAATGTAGCAGGATGATGGTTCTTTAATAAATTCGCACTGAGATCTAATTTATTTAATTTGGCTTCACATTGCCCTAGACTGATTAATTATGCTTAATAAACGCGGTTTGTAGAAAGTGCTAACACTATGTTTATCTGAACATCTACTGCAAATAGTAAATCACTTCTACCATGCCTATTTCGACTTTTATAGAAACGTTTCTTTAATAACCCAGATCTTCAGAAAGCCGATCACAAGATTGCAGATTTGTTGAATTGAATTTCGATCAAAACTAAGTTGAGGACAGTTAAAGTCATTTAGTAATCATTCTGACTCGACAGAATAAAGAAGTTAGAGAAATTTTGGCTGATAAGATAAGTAGATTCTGTTCAGATTGCATTCATTTTCGTGTGAAGGAAAATGCGAAAAAATTAGAAATCTGTTGATTTGGGTTAATCCGGCTAGAAACCTCCTGCTTGCTTAAGAAGTACGCAAAAGCCTGAGGTTTCATAAATTACATATAGACCATCAAATAACATGTAAACTTTTTGGGGCTTTAAGGCTCAAACTCTTGAAACTTTCCCGTTTTCATTCCCTTACACACTGAGTGAATTCTGAACTTTTCTTATGTATTCTAGTTAAAAAACTTATTTCTGAGCCCTAAAGAATTACTTGGGTTGCGCAAATTGAAATTTAGAAAACTTATTTCAAACAGTTTCTTTCAATCACAGGAAGCAAATCTCGGAAAAAAATACTTTTCTGGACTTGTTTTGCAAATATTAACCGAAAAAGTACATACAAGTGCATCAGGCCCTACCTTAAATTGCATTGTATAATCTATCGATACGATTCAACACGTAAACACAAACTAGCTAAGGTATCGGCCCCAAAACGCTTTTATAGGCTGGTTGACAACCCCGTAACCGTGCTGGCCAGTTAAAAAAATGCAATCGCAATTTGCCGTTTAGATTTTTAGAAAAAATGCACCCATTGCAGTTAGTCACAAAATTGTGGGCAAGGTCGATGCAATTCACCATGGTGTGGGCAAAATGGGCGGGTCTGGAAGACACACTTCAAGTAGAAATTGCAACATGATACAGGGTGGTCTACGTACTTAGCACGATTCGTCATTAAATCAGAATGATGTAATTTATGTTGTTGCGAGGCTTTGGCGCTATCAAGGAAATACATCAATTGTGTGCGAATTGTTGGTTGCATTTGCAATTGTAACGACAAATTTGTTTGTTTGGTATTGCAGTTTTGCGATCTTTGTTAGGTTGATGCGCCAAAACCTCAGATTCCAAAACTTATTTTTTTCAAGTAGGTATTCATGTTGAAGCTTTAAGCTATTTCTTCCCTAGGAAAAGAACATTTTCCTGCGGGTCGAACTGTTTTTTAATGAGTATCTGGAATCGAGCCCTTTTCTAATTAAGCTGGTGTATATCTGGATCCTTTCTCCTGGCCAATGGATCAAAATTATCTATCCTAGAAAAGTCATTACTCAACAATACCAGGAGCTATTTATGAGTAGAAACCATTCAGAACGAAATTCAATGGCTGGGTATTTGCTCCTTAATTAGCCAAATTCAGAAGAGTGAACAAACTAAAGAAAACATTTCTAAGGTACTTCAATATGGAAAATTCTCTATGCAATGATCATGCAGCAAATGCTGGACTGAATGGACGACCCAGTTTAATGTCACAGATTAGATCGCTATTGTTTGTACGTTTCAACAGATTATCGAAAAAATCCCCAAGGAATTACCACATGGCAGGAAAGTGTAGCACAAGATAGGTCAAAGTGCATTTGAGTCTATTACAGCTCACCCAATTACGTCAGTTCGAGGTCGCAGGAATTACAATTTACTAGTGAGGGGCAAATACAAAGAGGTCATGCATTATACAAAAAGTCGGTTTTGTGTAAGTTTGTTAACGGAGTTTCGAAATTTTTCCTGTTTTTCGGATTCGGCTTTGTTGCATTTTGTGTCAGCAACATTTTCACGCCTGATCTTCTACTTTAAGAGTTTTCCGAAGTCTATATTTGAAACATTTTAAACAATTTTCTGCTATTGAATAAGTGTCTTCCTTATACAGCTGGTGCGTTGCAAATAATTCCTCCCTTCCTCTCCCATGATACACATTCCCAATCTATCACTAAACATGACTGTTTGTTTTTAATTTGCATCATTTTTTCAAGCTTCTTTGCTTCATTGTAACGTATATTTAAGATCTTGATCCAAAATTGAATAGTGCTAACCTCCAGATTACCACAATCACCAATTTAATTCCAATCTACATATTTGCAACTACACTCAACCGAGATTCCATTAAGGTGTGGCCGGGTTACAATATAAATTTGCATTACTTTAAGTGCAGGTAAAAATTGGACAGCAGATGTTTGTTTCGAGGATTTATGCGATTCTATTGCAAAACCGATTGACTTCTGCTATTCTGCAGTCTCACTTGGCATTAGCCAGATGACCGTTGTTATTTGCGAATGAACACTTAGTTCAGCATGTCACCAATAAGACCCAAAAAACTTCTTTGGATTGCAGCCATTGATGAAATTAATGATAAATTCTCAGCAGCTGGATCGGCTGTTTTAATACCCATTAACCTTTGTTGGAGGAATATTAATATCTTTAAATCGTGGTTTTGGATTTTTCCGCATCTGTACTCGCTGCATTTAAACAGTGGATAATAATAGTAGAGTGGGTTTTAATACGACTGGGTTAAAGATCAAATAAACTTTATGGAACAATAAAAGCGACTAGAGAAAAATACTGTTTATATTTGCTATTTGCAGGCATTTTTTAGGATTGGTGTTGAATAAATCACTTTTTTCATTCCAGTTTTATACTTTTGCTCATTCGTCAGCCATAATGCAAGAGTACTATTTACCCTTTGCAATAAATGGAATTCATTCCCAGGTATTAATATCGTTCAAGGCAATATTTTCTCAATAGCCCGACCTATCAGACATTACGCTAAATTATAATAATTTACCAATTAGATAAATTATGTCACTTGCCAATATCATTAAAATATATGTAGTTCTAGCAGAACAGTGATATAATGTAGGACGGATTACTACATCTATGACATGAAAAATCACGCATTTTATTTTATAATTAATTTATTTATATGTAGATACCAGGTTTTATAAAGCTTCAGCCGGGCAGAGAAGAAAATTTATAATTAATTTAACAGTAATGAATTTAAAGTCTGGTAAATGTTTGAAAAATGTATGCTTCTAACAGTACCTGCAGATCAAAACCGAAACTTCAAAGACGACGTTCTTTCAGGGAAACAACTGTTTTTCTAGTAGAATTACTTGAAGCGAGTGAAACTTTTTGAAGTGTATGTTGTGAAATGTATTTGTTAGATGTTATATGTGGATAGAAAAAACCGCCCTTCTCTAAAATACATGTTAAAAAGAAAACAAGAAAAATAATTTCCGAATTGAATTGTTGGTTTATTTCAATAACAGAATTTGGATCGATGTAGCGATGTTAAAAAACCCACTTTTGTATTTGTAAATAAACAATACCTTTGCATTTTACTTGCATCAACAAATTTTTTTTATAATAAAAAAAAATAAAATTTTTGAATATGTTTAAGAGTTGATTAAAGGTCTACATAAAACTTTTAAACTTGACTCTTTGTAAGTAAAATACAGTTTTGGGACATTTTTTTAGTTGACTGTTCTCTGGCTCTCGCTAGGCTTTTTCTAATTGCTCAGGTATACAAGATGTTCCCAACATACGGATATTGATAGATTCAGAGATTATCACTTTTTTGCCACTCAGTATATAAGTGTGCTGTATTTTACTTCCGTATTGGCCGCTTCTCAGCCCAACGGTTTAGGAGATTACCGCTTCGCGAAAAATAAAATATGCATTTGTTAAAATCGGTTAAATTCTACCAAACAGAACACCTACTATTAAATTCACCTGTCGAATAAAAAAGATAAATTACTATCCATTGCAACTGTAAGCATTAATTTTAACACCTCACAAAAAAATCAGCCAAACCTTTGCCCAAAAGAAAACAAATCTCCTATGCCTGTATACAATTGACTTTCGTGAACTATTCATTATTTAGTGCTGCCCATTTCAGTGAACTGAATCAATTAGAATCAATCGCTTTTCAGCTTTCAAGTCCATTTTAAAAACGTGTTCAAATTTATTCTGTTCAAGTCAACTTTTGACACGAAAATGATCGATATAATCGGTTACAATTGTTATTAGGTCCACTTTTTATATCGAGGTTAACGAAAAACCATTTTAACGCGTTGCTGGATCATAAAAAGCCATGTAGTGCCATTTGCTGCTTAAACGTCGATCTGGGTCCCCTAATCCGGTTTTTTTCTGCATGCAAACGGCACTATTAAATTTATTACCTGGCTTGAACAGAGCGCTTTGGTTCAGTCAACTCATATTCTACCAGTACTGTAACTTCTCCAATGTTCCTCCATCTGACAAATGCTGATGGAGGAAGTTTCATTGCAGAATACCTCAAACATCCTTCAATACCATCAAATGAAACAACGCAAAATTAATGGAAATATTTAGGCAAAAATACCAAAGATTTTCAGCTATTCAGCTAAGCTCTGCAGGAGCTTTTAAGCAGATATAAGAACGAATTAAACTCTGAGAGATAGGAAAATGTACACTAAATGTGTCTTATGCTCATAATATCTTATATGATTAAACAATAATATGATCATTGTAATCTTGCTACGGATCTGCAGGAGACTCTACTGCAATAGGGCGTGGTCCTTGCTATATTTTACAATTCGAACGCATATTCACTTGACTTTCACTGTTACCTCGCTGAGTTGAATTTATCTTTGGCTTAGAATCTAGGTAACACTTACTTAGTCATAGTTTGGATTTTTGCAGTCTTTGTTGTTAAAATCTTAATTAGGTTGAAGTGTAATACGGATTGAGATTGACGACTTTAGTGGCACTGGTTTCGTTATGCAAACGATACCGAGTGGTACGTTTTTCTAGCTCTTGGTCGAACATCTGGCATGATCAATTTTTCTTCTGAATATGCACTTCAATAAAGTGCTTGTATGTTCATGGTTTGCCTACTAAAGCTCTAGTAGGATTTTATTTTTCTTCAATGTTTATCTGTCTTAAGCAATTGTTTGCTTAATTTGTTATGCACTGCACTTAATTTATTTTTTCGTTCTATTTAGTTCTTTGTAACTAGTACTAGTATTGTTTCGAAGCGTAGTTTTTTCAGACATTTAAAGCGGGCAATTGGGGCCGATTGATTTACTTAATTTATTGAAGATTGCAGAATTTTTCGTTGCGTTCCAGTAATTCGTGAATTTTATTTGATTTTCGAAGTTTTCCATTCAAAATCACAATTACGACGATCTGAAAGTTATGATAAGTTTGAGAGTTGGAAGTTTAAGAGAGTTTGAAATATTTTTGATCAAAATAACTGTTTTATTGTCGTTAGTGATTGGAACCTAAAAATAAATATATTTGGGTTCCAGCTCTCTCAAAAATGTAAAATGTATTTTTTCGTTACTTCCTAAAGTGAAATTGTTTTGCTTGGAAATTTTCAGAACCGCGTTTCAGTCGCGCATTTTCAATTGAAGATTTTAAATTGCCGGTGACAATAAAGCATTTTTGAATTGATTTGATGATTTATTTAGGTTCGAGAAATTTTGTACATTGTAATTTTGTCGCCTTCTACTCTTCTACCTACTTTTCCTTTTTTGCACTAATTTCATGGAAATTGAAAATTGCAGAATATTTTGTTTGCGTTCACGTAAATAACTATTAGAAGTTTTTTAAAAGTAAAGACAATTTTAAGATGAAGTTTTATAACCTTCTGATTAAAATAACTTTTTCTTATTGCCGTTGGTGATGAGATCCTGAAAAATAAATACCTTCACGTAGCAGCTAAAAAAAACTCTTAAAAACATAAAATGTATTTTTTTGTTATTTAACTAGGTGAAGGTGTTTTATCAGACTATGAAGGTGTTTTGTTTCGAGGAATGTGAGCTTTATTGAGCTTCAGTCGCTCATTTCCACCTGAAGATTGACTCCAAAGATGCCAATTTCGAGTTGAAATCGGCAGGTTTACATTTTCAGTGTTCCATTTCATTGCTGCAAATGTTGAGTTCTTATATTTTATAAACATTTTACTACAGTACAGAATTGCTCTTGTAAAAGTGCAAATTATAAGAATTCAGACTGAAATTGTTTTTTTTTCAAAATTTCTTATTTTTGTCTATGTTCTTATGCTTTCGCTTTGCCCAAAAAAAATTATTTTTAATTTTCTGTGGCCATAAAGCATATTTTGATTCATTGATTTGATGATTTAGATTTGGAAAATTGTGTGATTTATGATTTTTGTCTCTTTTTATTAGGTGTATGTTTGAAGTCACAAATTTTAATCCAAATTATGAATTTTTCCGAAAAATATACTTTAATCAAAGCTGTCATTAAAACCCTCATTATTTCGATTGCTGCTTGTTCAGTTTATAAATAATTGTGAACAGAACGATTAACTTTGTATCTGTGAATTATTGTATCTTTTTTTCTCTTTTGATCTTGCAAGATTTTTGTCAATTTGTTTTCTTGTCTATGTTCTTAGGTGTCATTTGCTTTGACTATAAAATGTATTTTAAATTTTCTGGCGTCATAAAGCATATTACGATTGATTTGATGATTTGCCGCGACTCGAGAAATTTTATACATTATTTTCCCTTCTACTCAGAAATGTTTATAAAAATGCTCTATTTTTGAAAAAATATATTTAAAAAAATGATGAATTTATCAATGTATATTAAAAAACATCATTAGTTATTTCGATTGTATAAGCAATGCAGTTTTGAAAATGTGTACTTTGAACTTTGCATCATGCGGTGATAAATGTGAATTAACTGGGGGCCTTTTTTAAATAAATGCTATCAATACTACGATAATTTCTTAGGTGAGATTTATCACTGTTAATTTTCTCACTCGGTTAAAGTCTGCGTGGCTTATCAATCTTTCATTTATTTTCTCCCAATGGCAAAAACGACAGTTTAAATTATTCAATGATAGTGATACCCACTAAAAAAGAACTGAAGCAATAACTCATTATTCTACAGCTGAAATCCCAGAATCGGCCTTGTCAGAAATGCGGAGTCAGTGAACTGTACGAAATTATTTTTGATTGACCAAAAGGTTTCCGGCAAGGCCGCAAAAGTTTAATCAAATGGTTTGTAAGTGTTGCAATATTTTTAAAACAATGTACAAACGCCAGTTAAATGAAGCTATTATTCAGATTTCACGTGATTTTCGAACAGTTGGTAGCTGATGAGCCTTTCGATCAACCATGAACATAAATCTATGATTATGGTTGCTTATAACAAGTACCATATTTGCCAAATAATTGCTCTTCTTATGAAACTTGTGCTTATGTAGGAGTTCAATTAACAGACAGCAAACAATACCTGGCTGAGATATGAAAACGCAATCTAATTCAGATTAAGGTAGGTGGAATGTGTCGCGATAATGGCATGTTTGTTCAGATTTGGAGTTAATGGCACATGTTTAAATTCATTTCTTGCCCCGTTTCGTAGTACGTCGATTATTTTCCTTGAAGAAAAACAAGGCGATTATGCGATTATTTAAATCGCCAGTGAGCCTATTAATTAAGGGTAACATTTTAGATCAACGTACATAAATCCTAATGAGATTGCGTGTTCTAGATGGATTTTCCGTTTGAATATTGATTGACTGCGACTTTTTTTGAGAAAGCCTGTTTTTCACCGAGAGTTATGGGTGTGCGTATAAGTGTTCGAGTTATGGCTTTTGTAACCTATTTAGTGGTAGAAAAGGTGAATGACAATTTGGACTTAATGCATTTTAAGTCGATACTTCAATTGGAAACCGGTTGCAGCTACAACTTATACCAAATGGTTTGAAATATTGCTTTCGCTCAGAGGGTTTCCCAATTGGAGAATGAAACAGCTTCTTTCGATTGGTTGAAGATTTATGGTAATAAAATGGCGGGGTCAGAGGATGACAATATGCAAACATCTGGATTGTAAGAGTTTTAGAAAATCATAAAAGAATATATTTCTGGTCTAGACCAGAAGTTAATTTTCTGATATTTCTCAGAAGTTATTTGTCTTATATCATCTTTGCGTTTATCAAAGATGATATAAGACATAAACGCAAAGAGATGGCAGCCTTAGTATTATTAGAAACGCAACAGTTATCGTCAATATTGCCTCTAAAATACCTTTAAATATGAAAAATTATAAATATGAATAAAAGCGAATGTTATGGGATTGCGCAGCAAGTAAAAAGTGTAAGAAAGTTCGGAAGAAGAAAATAAAGTGTGTATTAAATATTTGAACGGGTAATGAAACGAAATTGTTAATTATTTTAGAAGATTTTTTAGATGAAAAGGGGATTTTCTTTCAGACAATCTTTTTTACTGCGTAGTTGATATGTTGACTAACGGATCTCTTCTAATTCAGTTTTTTGTTCATTCAAGACTGGATGTCTATAATTTTGGGATATTTCGGATATACAAATATTTTTTTAGGTTTGCAGCATATTTTCTGAATATTTCTAAACATAGACCTCAGCACTTCATTATCGTTGCAATAAACTGCCTATTTTTAGCAGATAAATTCACTTCTGATTTCCATATAGAAGTTTATTTTCCAAGAAAAGAAAATTTTTCCCCATTAGTTTCCTCTTAAGGAGGCTGATCTACTTACTCTTGCAACGTGCCAGAATGCAAACTGCCTTAAGAAGAATATTCTGCATATAGAAGCGGCATTAGTAATTTTATGGCGGTGAGTTATATGGCTTTGAATCGGTGTTTGGCACTGAATTAAGGAAATTATTAATTTATTAACTTGGTATGTGATAGTTTCAACAAATGTATATAAGATTGGCTGGTAAATACATGCAAAAAATATTCCCGGTTTCTAAAGTGAACAGAATCATAAAAAAATATAGACAAAACTTAAATTTCTAAAGTCATAGCCAAAATCCAATATGAATTTTGACGAGTTCATCACTCTCTGCGATGTGTTCTCGCAATTTATTGTAGCTTGCGAGAAAGTATTTTTATTAACATTTTTCGTCTTTCAGCAGATGGTTTGCCGTTACAAAATTTGAGCTCATATGATTGAAAGACATATGGCAACACACTATTTTGCCGCAAGTTAGATAGCCTATCATTTATTTTCAAGGCGAAAGTGATTTGAACATTTGTAAGGCTAGCAAAAATTAAGATAAACTAGAAATTGTACAGGTTTTCTTAACGTTATTAAATATGTTACAAGTTACAATATTACTGAGCAAAAAATTGAATATTTCCCCGATGGCTGGATGAGACGATTGCAAAATCGTTTCTTGAACGACTGCATGCATTGAAAATGTGATTTAAATTTTAGTGGCGGGTTTCCGTAAATCTGAAATGCTTAGCAAAATTATTGCATATAAACCAAGAGAAAATGATACGTGTTGATTGTATGTAATTGCCTTTAATGGTTTACGCGGTTTGGGGAAATGCATTCAAGAAATAATGCAGTCTGAATGTGCAAACCAATAGTTTATGTTTGCGAAATGCGACGTTACTTGCAATTTCGGATCCGTACGTTAAGACAAAAAATGAAAGACGTGATTTACGCATGCAGCTGATACAGCAGGACTATTTTAAAATTATTCCAAAAGTTTCAAATTTTTCAACTCAATAGACCTTCCATCGTTTTCTTCATTCATTTTATATTCTGATTTATTTTCCTGACTGCGTGTACTTGTTATGATATTCTTAACTTTAATTGGTCTCAGTAAAAGTGTGAAGTAAAATAAATGAAATAAAACGATGTTCAAAATTTTTACTTCACACTTGGACTGAGACCCAGGAAAGATAAGAATATCATAATAATTAGTTTTATATTTATTAGAAATCTTTCAGAAATTAATTCGTTAAAAAACGCATGGGAATTGACCAATAAAAAATACATTAAATATTAATTTAATGGAATCCAACTGGTATTGTGATACTTCATGAACTGCAAATTCAATTTCTCATTATATTCTACAGTCACGAACAGAACAATTAATTGACTTCCTAGTTTCTATCCAAAAAAAATTTCCGAATAAAAATGTCTTTAATGATTATAAACAATCATTTTCCTAAAACAATACAACATGAAAGTGTGAGTAGTGGGACTACGCAAAACTTCAGCTGTTTTTGAAGCAAATTGTGTATATTTTTGCGCAATGACGCAAAAACCCATTTTCAATAGAATTTATTGCACGTAATTCAGACCACTCTAGAAAACAGTTAAAAAGCGTCCCTTATAATAAATAACACAACTTAGCTAACCGTTTCAATAAATACATACTTCCACATCCAGACCAAACAGGATCTGGATGCTCAATAAAATCTACTTGCTTCAACACTAAATGATCTAAAACTCCTTTAGACACTTTCTTACAAATTACACGTCTTGGTAGCTGACTCTTTTCGCATACCTGGTGTATCCATTATTAGACGCACTTCGATACAATCGAGTGAGTTCCGCCTTCTGTCGGTTACCAGTCAATGTTTGCTTCACCAGTGGCATGTATGGGTATCCGTAGCTGGTTTGGGGTAATCTTGAGTTAAATTTACTCGCATAGTTGCTGTTTGCATTCGGCTTAGTTGAAAAGTGTTTCAGGCCTGGAGTGCTTTGAGGTTTCTTGCCAGATTTGTATGTGTTTGGAGCGACCGGCTGAGTAATCGGGTTTTTCGTCTTGGGTCTGATCGGCTTGAAACCCGTTTCGATCACTGGTTGATGCGAGTTACTCATGCTGATGTCTTTTGAGTAATATTCCTGCAGATACTTATTAAGCTCCTCTTGAGACAGTTCATGGCTCGGTTTCATTGCGTTGTCTTTCTGGGAGGTTTTTTTTGGAACTATTGGAGTGTTATGCGTTGGGTGGGACTGAATTGTTGGCTTCTCGTGAGCTCTTTCTTCTTGGAATTTTATCTCTATCGGTTTAATGGGCTGAATGTCCAAGGGAATTATTTTTTCCAAGGTGTCCTTTTGCAGCAGGTTTAAATCAATTGGAAGATGTGGCAGGAATTTTACATCTTCATATTCCTCTTTAACACTAATAACGGGTTTTCTTGGGATGTACTGAGTTTTGGAAATTACTCTTTGTGATTCTTGCGCCGATGCTGCTTCTTCAGGCTTAAGGTAAATGTACTCCTGGTTCTGATCTTCATCTTCCTGTCCTTCCTGTCCCTCTTCCACTGCAGCACCTCCTGAACATAACAATTATTAATATTAGCTTGCCAAAATAACCAGCCGATTACTAACCTTCTTCATTGTTTCTTGCATACTCGTACTCAAACTGCTGTTGAGGCTCTGCCTCCTCACTAGCAACCTCTTGCTCATAATGGGCTCCACCATGCTTCAGCTGCACGTTATTGTGGCTAATTGCGTCTTTAGAATCGTGCGTGATATGTCGCAAAGGACCACTTTTCTTCACGATAGCATTAAAGCCGCTTTTATCATCCGCTGTGTAATCAACAACCCGAACTGATCCATCAGCTTCAACCAGCGAATACTGGCCTTTGATAGTGTCACCTTCCTTCTTCTCCCATTGGTGCTTCACATCGCCTGTGTGAGGGTCCTTAACTCCGTAACTAAAACTGTAGTCTGTAGGTTTCTGCAAATAAAATTAAATATTGAAATGTATATGGCGGTTCGGGTTAAAGTTGTAGTACCTACATATTGAAAAACTAGAGGAATAAGAAGAAAACAATATTTGAAACCTAATTTTGCTTTGATGTTGTGACATAATAAAGAGCTAACTTATGAAACGTTATGAGAAGAAATGTAATTTCTATATAATTATAAGCAAATATCCAAGTTGTTGATTAAGTCTATCAATGTAAATAATGATACTAAGGAAAATCTTAGACCGATGAGTTTTTTAAAACGCGTTTTTCAATAATCAGGGCGTATGCTTACGATCTGAATTTCTATGGGGTTTTAACGCGGAAATCCCCATTGGAATGTCCAATTTCGAACCGATGCGAAAATATAGTTTTTTCAAAACCGCAAAACAAATTCTGTGAAACACTTAATATAAAACACAATTCGAACTTTTCCTAAAAAAATCATCCGAAAATCTAACTCAAAACTGCTGAAATTACAAAGAGATCTTTGCCCAAAATTGAGCCAAAATTTTGAAGCTCTCTCTCCCTTCGTTTGCAATTTTTACTATTTTCATCAATCCTGTGATAATTTGGGAACAATATTGTTGTTAGATTTTGCTTCATTCCATGCAAAAATAAGGTTACTAAGGTTACTAACTAAAAAATAAGGTTAAATAAGGTTTTTTTAAGGTTACAAAAAACATTCTGTAAGGAGCTAAATTTAAAACAGCATTTGAACTTTTTCAACATTTCAACACAACATCTATGTAACCCAATTAAAAAACCGAATTTAAATACATTTCAGTTATGTCTTTTCTTTAAATTTGTTTTTTTTTTAAGTAAATCTATGTACTTACATCATACTCTGGAGCATATTGATGAACAGAAATTGCATGGCATTGAACTGTAGCTGCCACTAAAACTATCCATGTTGTTGACTGCTGTGACACATAAAAATATTATAAATAATTATAAAACAATTAACTTTAATTGACAGGTAGAAGAGGATTATACATTAATGCTATAGTTAATTTGTAATTATTTCTAATCGGAAAAGTGAATGAAAAGCAATTAAACACCATCATAATCAATTCATTATAATTCGTACACTCTTCACTTCAAAAAAATATAATTATTCGCGAGATAATGCGCCAATGAACTTGCAAAGCGTTCGATTTTGCCGTGACCCACCTGAAGAAACCGCATCTTCAAGTTCGAAGAAATTTACTAAACCACTACTTTCACACACTGCCTCTTGTGGATCTTTACCTTTCTTTATAAAGTCCAACAGCACCCTACTATTTGCCACTTTTGGATAGATTTTTTATTTAAATCTATTTTTGATGGGCACCTTAATTAGAAAAGAATTCGTTTCGAATTAGTGAAATTATGCATCTTTGGTTATATCAAAAGTGTCCATATGGTCAATAATTATTGTTTTATTATCCAAAGGTTTTTCCTGTGTTTTAACATGAAAGTAAAAAAATATACACAATTTGCTTCAAAAGCTGCTCAAGATTTGCGTAGTCACACTACTTACACTTTCATGTTGTATTGTTTTAGGAAAATGATTGTTTATAATCATTAAAGACATTTTTATTCGGAATTTTTTTTTGGATTGAAACAGAAGTCAATTAATTGTTCTGTTCGTGACTGTAGAATATAATGAGAAATTGAATTTGCAGTTCATGAAGTATCACAATACCATAATAGTTGGATTCCATTAAATCAATATTTGATATATTTTTTATTGATTAAGTCCCATGCGTTCTTTAACGAATTAATGTCTGAAAGGTTTCTAATAAATATAAAACTAATTATTATGATATTCTTATCTTTCCTGGGTCTCAGTCCAAGTGTGAAGTAAAAATTTTGAACATCGTTTTCTTTCATTTATTTTACTTCACACTTTTACTGAGACCAAGGAATGATCAGAATATCATAACAAGTACACGCAGTCAGGAAAATAAATCAGAATATAAAATTAATGAAGAAAACGTTGGAACGTCTATTGAGTTGAAAAATTTGAAACTTTTGGAATAATTTTAAAATAGTCCTGCTATATCAGCTGCAGGCGTAAATCACGTCTTTCATTTTTTGTCTTAACGTACGGATCCGAAATTGCAAGTAACGTCGCATTTCGCAAACATAAACTATTGGTTTGCACATTCAGACTGCATTATTTCTTGAATGCATTTCCCCAAACCGCGTAAACCATTAAAGGCAATTACATACAATCAACACGTATCATTTTCTCTTGGTTTATATGCAATAATTTTGCTAAGCATTTCAGATTTACGGAAACCCGCCACTAAAATTTAAATCACATTTTCAATGCATGCAGTCGTTCAAGAAACGATTTTGCAATCGTCTCATCCAGCCATCGGGGAAATATTCAATTTTTTGCTCAGTAATATTGTAACTTGTAACATATTTAATAACGTTAAGAAAACCTGTACAATTTCTAGTTTATCTTAATTTTTGCTAGCCTTACAAATGTTCAAATCACTTTCGCCTTGAAAATAAATGATAGGCTATCTAACTTGCGGCAAAATAGTGTGTTGCCATATGTCTTTCAATCATATGAGCTCAAATTTTGTAACGGCAAACCATCTGCTGAAAGACGAAAAATGTTAATAAAAATACTTTCTCGCAAGCTACAATAAATTGCGAGAACACATCGCAGAGAGTGATGAACTCGTCAAAATTCATATTGGATTTTGGCTATGACTTTAGAAATTTAAGTTTTGTCTATATTTTTTTATGATTCTGTTCACTTTAGAAACCGGGAATATTTTTTGCATGTATTTACCAGCCAATCTTATATACATTTGTTGAAACTATCACATACCAAGTTAATAAATTAATAATTTCCTTATTTCAGTGCCAAACACCGATTCAAAGCCATATAGCTCACCGCTATAAAATTACTAATGCCGCTTCTATATGCAGAATAATCTTCTTAAGTCATTTTGCATTCTGGCACGTTGCAAGAGTAAGTAGATCAGCCTCCTTAAGAGAAAACTAATGGGAAAAAATTATCTTTTCTTGGAAAATAAACTTCTATATGGAAATCAGAAGTGAATTTCTCTGCTAAAAATAGGCAGTTTATTGTAACGATAATGAAGTGGTTAGGTCTATGTTTAGAATTATTCACAAAATATCTTGCAAACATAAAAAAATATTTGTATATCCGAAATATCCCAAAATTATAGACATGCAGTCTTGAATGAACAAAAAACTGAATTAGAAGAGAGTTAGTCAACATATGAACTATGCAGTAAAAAACATTGTCTGAAATAAAATCTCCTTTTCATCTAAAAAATCTTCTGAAATAATTAAAAATTTCGTTTCATTACCCGTTCAAATATTTAATACATACTTTATTTTCTTCTTCCGACCTTTCTTACACTTTTTACTTGCTGCGCAATCCCATAACATTCGCTTTTATTATATTTATAATTTTTCAAATTTAAAGGTATTTTAGAGGCAATATTGACGATAACTATTGCGTTTCTAATAATGCTAAGGCTGCCATCTGCTGTAAGTCAACTGATTCAATATACTTTCACTTCATTGTTCCTGAGTTAGTTTACAAATTTGATTCCTACATTTTTCTGCAGTTTTGTACTTAATTCTGTCTAAGCGAGATGGCCGGTAGAAAGTACCGTTGACTATAAACCATCAAGGGTACTGTGTAGATGGCTCCACTAAGGTACTTTTTGATTAATATGACTAATATGAATGATAAACTGAACTGAGCATGAACTGTGAAAAGAAACGGGAAAAACCTGAAGATGTTTTTAATTAAATTTAATTGAACTACAGGTAAGACGAAACAAGCTATTGATAATCACGAAGAGTGAGCTTGGTTTAGGACGGAAAAGTTTGGGTTAGTTTGGGTCATTCTTTATCGAAAGACTCACTTAAATATCGCATTCTAAGCAATGAGATTTGACTGCTTTAAAGCAGCCAAAAATTATTATTTATAGAACGTGACTTGCAGTCTTCTTTTCAAAACATCAAATTATTTTTTTTCTATTGACATTACCATAAAGGTTGGTTTCCTAATCGAAAACAATCGCGACCTGTTCAACTTATTTTAAACTCAGAAAGGATTGCAACCGGTTTAAATGCAAAATGCCCTAAAACGACTCAAAACCACCTATCACCGTTCTTTGGTAATAAAGTGAGTTTAAAATCCTGCAGTGCAATTAATTAAGTGAATAAATCCATCATCAACAAGGCCATCCTCTGATTAGGATCGAACGAAATCATTTTTTGTTTCATTTCAACGAGTATACTTAATGGTAACCGCTTTTTTGGCAATAAAACCATCAAAGACCTGAATGTTCTGATAATCACAGTTGCTGCAAAATCAAGGAAAAAATTGTTTTGTTTTCTGCTCAAGAAAAAACCATAAAACACATTTTTTAATATCGACCAAATATCTTTATTTTGATGAAATACCCAATCGAAACACAATTGTTCTACAGCTTCATTTAAACATCTAAATCGGAAGCATTTTTTGCCTCAAATCAGTCTTCATTTGTAAAAATGTTTCTGCTTGTAACCCCGAGTTCCAAGATGAGTCGGTAGAACAACAGCAGGTTTTGCAAAAACCACTGGATGTTGGAAGTCTTTAGGAAATCTCAATGGCCCCAGAACAGCTTCTATAAGAATGATAACAAAACTTTTTCAACATTTACTTTATTGCAAAAATCAGTGTCTATTGCCGAACGCATCTAAACTGAGAATAAGACGGTTTTATATGGTAAATGCCGTCCTGATTCCATAATTGTATAGTCCAAGTCGTACTAATTCACTAGTAAAGTTAATTAAAAATATGATTGGTGCTAAATTGCTAAACGTGCTTCAGACGCCGCATCATATGGCATTTTATTGATTCTATATACATCTGGTCACCTTGTATCAACATTCTTAAACCGTTTAAGTCAACAAACAAAGAAAAGTGTATCACTTAAGAAGCAAGTAACCTTTCGGCTTAATTGCGCAAAGGCTGTTATGTATTGTGTATCGCTGGCCCACTACAGAATTTTGTGCGTTATTTATAACTTATTTATTCGCAATTTTAACTAATTTATCAAAAGCAAATGGCCAGTTTCAACTAAATTTCTTGAAAATCTTAATTCGTCTTGGAACCTATAAATCAAATTAAGCAAAGTTTACAATTTGATTAATTAAGAGCAGTCTTAGAAACCCTTAATCTCTAAAAAGTGTGCAAATACTTCTCTTGCAAAATTGTCTTCGGAGTTCTTATGGATGGCTACTTATGATGAAAAATACCGAAATCTGAGGCTAATCTAAGCACTAGTAATTCAATAAATCACATTACTTAAAAATAAATATACAGTGCTTTATACGAAATAATTAAATATCCTACTTTAAGTTTGCTACACATAAGTTGCTCTTGACATTTTCTCGAAACACCCAAAAACTGGGCAAGCGATTTTTTAAAGAATTTAGTGCAAAACTGATGAAATTTTGAACGAAATTAAACCAGACGCCTTTTGACAAAGAATAATGGTTTTTAATATCAAATATATGGGAATTTACATCTCTATACAGGTGGTTTTTGGGTGTTGCTACCTGTTATGGGCTGATGGCTTAGAGTTGATTTTCTAATTTGCATACACGTTTAAAGGTGAGGGATTTATGATAATTATCTTCAAATATTTTCCACATCAATCGACAACTTCCTTAATTTGAAATCAAGAAAAAAAACCGGCGAACCTTAATTTGTCAAATAAAAATGGAAAATGGAACCGAAATGGATGCCAGAATAAGCGACTCTTGAAGACTTACGAGACAATCTGCGGTATTTCACATAAACTCTAAATCCCCGTTCCGGATCAGCTTTGTATCGAACAACCCGAATTTTCCCATCTGGTTGAAGAAAACTGTAGTAGCCAGCTACAATGTCGTTGTGTCCGTGTTCGGTTTGCTGGCTCAAAACTCCTCCAGAATTAATTACGTATTCAAAAGCATACGAATTCTGAAAATACACAAAAACAAATTACAATTTTCCTGCAAGTCCGCAGAAAATTTGAAATCTACCTCTTCAGCTCCGACGCAATGTAGAAAACTCAACAATTTCCAAACAGCGACAAGAAAAATCTGAAATAAACATTTTTCCAATTAATTTTCACATGAAATCGCTTTGTTAAAAGTACAAAAGCACCTACTCTTGCATATATCAGGGTTATTCCACGTTAATTCGCTTTAGTTGAGCGTTTTTCCATCATTTTTTTTGCAACAAAATTAGTTCTAAACCCACGCAAGCAATTTGCCGATTTCTATCATTCATCAATCTTGACCGACTGATCAACTATACAGGCTATTTTGATAAATCGATCTAAATGCCAATTTGAATATTGAATCCACCAATTTAACCGCTTTGAATATTTCAATGCATTGTCAGTTTTTTATGGATTTTTAAATTATTAATTTGCATTGATCTCTATCAATTTCGAGTTCACGCAAAGCAAGCTTTGAAAGCCACAATTTAGCATTAAAAGGCTTAGCAATGGACTGAATTAAAGTCGTTTTACTCGTCAGCTGCTAGCTTATTCTCCCAATTTTTTTCTACTTGTAGAAGCTATTTAATTATAAACTAAGAAATATGATTGAAAGAATCCCCGACTAAAGCTGAAAATTAAATGCGATTTGTTGAATTCAAGCCAATTACTTCGAATTAAAATGAATTTAGTTCCCTGAATAATAAGCTACATACCAAATTGTGCATCGTTTTCTGAACTGCAAATAATCCGCACCATAAACTATAACAAGTCACCATAAATTAGTGGTATCGTGATGGTTAGGATGGGTTTCGTGCTTTCATTGACAATCGGAGGGTAGGGAATTCTGCGACGATACATTCTAATTTACCAAATAAAGATGTATTGAAAGAGCTGATCATGTTGCTACATGTATTAAATGTGGAACAAATTGCGAAAAGTAAACCTCGATTTTGTCAGAATTTGGCAACTTATTGTTCACAAATCTGTATTATTCTATCATTACGTCTGAAAAACAGCTATAGGTCGTTTTATATTGATTTTGTTAAAATTAAGAACATTTTCAAGTATCAATATGTAAAGTAATAATATTGCTACTTGACAATAGTTAAAACTGTGGGAATCTCAGTGTATGATCAACAGACATTAATAAAGGTAATTAATCAATCAAATCAAAGAAAACGCCTCATTTCAGAACTATATCTTCTCAAGGTATTTTCTATTTTTTTTTAAATTCTCCAACTTACCGTTAATGGTTTGTTTGTTTTTAGTTTCGCCAAAACAATCCATGGCCATTCAAGTCTTCCAATGAAAATTAACCGATCCTCATCAAGTTCTTCATAACAAAAAATCACAAACCAGCATCAGCCAAGCAAGAATTGTTAATTTTAAATTCAAGGTCCTAAACTATATCATTTCATATAATTGGCTCATTTCAAATTTGCATACAACATTGGCTTGTTAGCACATGGAGCCAGGATGGCAGGTATTTAATAGTGACAATGAAATTAATTGCAGAAGAATGTATGACCGAAAATTAACTTTTTTGTCAAGGACGGCGAGCAGGTAGGTTTTGTTCAACAATTCAATATTTTAACTTTTTAGACTACAAATATGGCTATAACAAAGTATAGTTTAGATTTAGTTCACATTTTTATAGTCAATTCAGTTTGGATACTGCCAATAGTTCATACTGATTTTCGTCTAAAATGGAAAATGTATTTCCGAAATACCATTTATAGGTTGTTGTGTTGTTCCATTCTTCTAGCTAGTTTGCATGCACCAGATTTTTTCTATTTATTTTTGTTTTCACTTATATGAATTTAAAACTTCTATGATTGGAAACAAGGTGTTTTTCCCCTACAAGCAAGTAATTTCTTGATTTTCATGTTAAAACACTCACATTAGAAAGTACTTCTTTGTAACTTTTATCTTTGACCTTGACACTTTACATTTTAATTTACTGCGACAATTTTCTGTTGACATTTTAAATGATTTATTTATGTATATTTTTTTATTAATGAGTTGAATTATAATTGCCTAAATTCTAACATTCAAATTATAACATAATTCATTAATGCATTTTTAGATAACGTTAATTACACCTTAAAACGTGTGTAATCCGTTATCGAAAGTTTATATTTATTTGGAGGAAGCAATTAAATATTTGTCGTTTTGTAAATTTTCATTTATTTGATAAATACGTATAGAAGAAATTATTTACCAAGCATATCATAAATCTTTATTTGCAGCTTTTTACAAAAATACCTTACATCTAATATGTACAACGTTCTAAAATCATAAAAACTAAATCAATTCTTTTATATACTAGTACATAGAAAGGGAATTATTCCCTATTAAAAAATCAATACAGTGTTATTTTTTTTTTAGTTTACGTATACACAATTTGGGCTGCAAATTACTTGAAAACCTCAATTTATGCTTCACACTAAAATATAAATGGTACTCTAAATATTCTAATTGGCCAGCAAAATATTTCAGTTTTGTATATACAGTTTCTTCTCGACAATTTTCAATAAAAAATCAAATTACATCATTGCATAATTCCAAACAGTCAATAACTTAAAAAAAAAGCGCGAAATAAACATAAGCATAAAAACTACATTGAATTCAAATATAGTGATATCTTTTCTTAACCAAGCAGCATACTAAGTATTATGTACAGATATAAGTCCAGTAGAATATACTTAAATAGTCGAAGAAACAAAGAAATTTGAATTGAATTGAAACAAACCTTTCAAGTTGCTCAGTTGCAACAATCATGCTAACAGAAAAAATCAATGGAAAACTATGAGAATAATAATAAAAATTATTATAAAATTAGAATGTTAGGAAGCCTTGACTAAGAAGTATATTATTTAGAAATAACTGGCATCATAAGGAAAGTGAAATGGCTCTAATCAGCAGACATAATTTCAGATCTCGTCTATATGGCATTAATAATATATCTATACGATTTGCAATATTTTCAATACTGGAATTAGAAAAACAGCACTTGCAATTGGGCAAAAAAATCCTGCATTCTATTGTGCTAAATAAGTCGCCTATTGATTGTTATAAACAAAGTATTTTTCATCACTTTTGTCGTAAACTGAATTATCTTCCGCCCCACTCTCACTGTTGGGCGTCAAATAGATAATTTGAGGAACATAATATCTAACGCCTCCAGAGTAAACTACGCCTATTTGAGGAACGTATTTTTGCTGCTGCTCCGCCTTGACTCGATGCCGAAGTTCCTCCTCACTGTACTTGACTGACGGCTGTAAAGTCGTCTTCCTCACCTCAAATAGTTCATAGTCTTGCCTATCAAACGTGTGAGGTCCCGTATAGTCAGGTCCAAGATTCCTGGCATATTGCTTCCTGTGAAGATTGTACTTTTGCAAACTTGGAGTATATTTTTGATCCAACGGCGTTCCCAGAATGAGATTCGGATTAGGCTTGAATGAGTAGAGTTTTGTTCGATATTGATGGGGAATCGGTGGACGGTAACTGTTGGGATTCGGGATGTCTTCCTGCTCTTCCCGGACTGGTGCTGGACTTCTAGGGACCAAAGTTCGAGGCTAAAAAAGGCAAACATTTGTGTTTATTAGAATGTTGTTGAGTAGCAGCCATTTATAGGTGAGTTCTAATAGGGTAGATATGTATTTTCTGCTTAGGAGTTGTTGAGTAAAATCTTGGAAAAAATAAATAATTGAATGAGGATTAATTTAAACTTTAACAAGTCCTAAGATTAATAGAACAAGAAGTATTTAAAAAATATCAAAAATTTTGCCAAGTGCCTGGAGAATTTAATTCGATTAATTAAATAAACAAGACAATTAATATTAGGATTATCTTTAAATTACGACAAAAGTCATCTGAAAGCTAAATCTCAAAAGTGAAACTTTATGACGAAACCATGTACACGATGTTAATAAAGGTAATTGCGACTGCAATAAATGTAAAATACGGAAAACTTTCAGATATTTAAAGAAAAAGCTCAAAGCATCAATTGCACAATAAAAATTAAACTTTCAGATCACATAGGTGACAGCATAATCTCGATAATTCAATCAGATGAGCAACAGGAGCAACTAAAAATAGCAAAGGGAAAGAAAACGAGAAGAAAAGCAGAAGCATTCATTTAATAAAATAAATATAGACTCGTAGCTTCAGGTTTATTAAACATAAGCAACCCTTTCTATTAACTTCTGGAGACAACGAAATAGGCATGCACGAAAATGTAACTATTTTATTTAATCCATAAGTTCACTTACTCCGAGTCATAAAAATCATATAAAAGTCGGCGAAAAATTCATATTCAAAGCTTGCGATGCTTTATAAAAATTCTCGGGCACTAATAGGAATTGTAGCTTAAATTGTACCTATGATCTTGCCATATGAAGCATTATTAATTTTTTTAAGGCAAATTCCGGTAAACTGCATAAATGCTACTCACTTACCTCTGCGGCGTTTTCTATCGGCTCCTTGGGTAATATCGGGCCTTTACTGGTACCAAATTCCACTTTAATGGGTTGACAGAGATCCAAGGCCGAGAACCAAAGTACCAATACCTGAAACAATGGTTGTTTCATATGAATATAAACCAATTATGGCCTCGTTGACAATGAACTAGGAGCACAAGTCCGACATGAGATGAAGGCTACAGGATGGTAATTACTCTTAAGTACCTCAGAATGCATATAATTAATATTTGCCGTTTAGTAGCAATTTTTTTCCTGTGGAATATTTACTAGTTTGCCCAAGAAACGACAGAATCAAGTGTAATTGAGCTTACAATTCCAAAGTGTTTATTTGATTAGATATGGAGTTCTTTTGCTGTTCTTTTGTACATTCGCTGATGTGTTGAAAGTGGCATTTTAAAGGGATTGCAAGAAACTTCCGTTATTGTTTTGCCATTGATGTTGTGCGGTGGAGCGGCACATTCTGTACGGATAATTTTTCAATTTTTTCTTCGAAGTGCAACTGCAAGATAACCTGTTTGGAATGTATTTCATCTATTTTCTTAACGACGAAGATATTTTAATATATTTCTTGAAGCTGCCGCGATAAAGAAATTACATTGAGTTAACTGCAAGCTCCAAGTCAATATTTTCTCCCAGACAGTGAAATTTACCTGAAAATCCCATGTTTCGGTTGTATTGTTTTCAACTACGTTTTCCGATTAAAATCAAGTTGTTATTCCTAAATCCGTGTAGAGGCAATTACGTTTAAAAATAGAATTAATCGCCTTAAATATTCAAAGGACTGCCTGAACTAATTACAGGCAATTTCCTGAAAACTAATCTTCTTCAATTCAAAAAAATATCCGTCGAATGCTTCTTTCGAGCAAATATTTACATAACAACGTTTTGATTGACTACCCGCCAAAATTAATTTTGTGTAGGTTAAATTCGATTGTTTTACCTCCTAAATAGGATACCAACTTTTTCAGTTCCTGCTCAAAGTTGCCTGACGGTGATTACTTTTACTGTATAGTTTAATTAACACTATTGTATTTATTACGGCAATTTGATGGGTAAAACATGTAATTAAGAAATGCATTGTTACATAAATGGGCAACTGATCTCGGCGCTTAAAATTTTTGCAGATTTATCGCAAGATCTTTCGATAAGATCGCAGCTATGGATTGGAGCGATTCGATTCGTCATTGTTGTGTAATGCATACAGTATTGCAATCAGATATTGATATTGTGTATTAAAAACCCCTTGCTTTTTCAAGCACGGAAACTGTAAAAATGAATAAATTTATTGTCTCTGAAAGCAGCAACTTTCCAGTTAAGATTGATGTAAGAAACTTGTGGACAAGTTTCGCTAATTACCAATTAGGTAAAGACATGTCTTCTCATGCCATCGTGAGGCAATTCATTAACTTGCGGAAATATGAAAATCGGTACTGCTGGCTGGTTAAAATATGCTTAGCAGGCACCTTAACAGGCAAGCGGTTCTAACAATATTATAAATCAAACTTAAAAAATTGCGATTTACTGCAATATCAAATGAACATCCAGGAACTCGAAACCAACAAATCAAACCTAATGCAAATTTTCCTTGATTCTATCAGTCAGTTTCACCTCCTTGTTCCATGATTGTTCCTATTTATTCATAGGGAATACTTTGAAGGCACTGATTGATTGCTTCCTTAAACCCATAATGAATCGCATTACATAAGATTGTTAGAAAATGGCTTGCATGCCAACATAACATCACATAACTAAACAGCATGAAATCCTTAGCAAAATTCTTCATGTTCATAATTAACAGCATCTAGTTACACTCCGTTGCTCATCACATTCTTGCTAGCAAATAAGTACACGCAGATTTACTCCAGTTGTACCATACCTACATAGTACATACAAGCGAGTAAACATAATATATGATTTTGCAACTGCAACATTGCAAAATTATTAGGCGCGAAACGTTTTTCAGCTTTGCGATGGACTGAATATTTTAAAATTTATTGTTTCCACATGGGTGTGCATTCATTAACTTCGTATCGGCTATTATAATTAAATAATTCCTTGCTTACTTGTGTCGTGAACATACATACCTCATAATTGACACAACTTATTGGGAAATTAGGTTGGCGCTGTTGTTGCAAGGCGAAAAATACGGAAAATCTATGAGTTTCACTACTAAATATACCTACCTGCATTCATTGAACAAAATTTATGATCCATTAAAGTGGAATTGAAAGTTTTAACGAATTTCTTAAGAAAAGCAGTCTCAAACAGTTGTAACATTTTGTAACAGTTTAACGTTAACAAAAAATTTTACAAAACAGGCTTTAGGGGTTCTTATTTAAATCAGTGTAATTTCAAAAGAAAAAAATACATTTAATCATATTCAACATATTTTGGTAAGCGTCAGTAATATGAAACTCTGGCGTTGCCTATTTTAGACACCAAATTTACATAAAAAACTTAAACTTGGAAATGTGGGAGAAGATTCGAAAAAAGCTGCAGTTCAAAATTAGAAAATGTTAAGTTTCTGTAGCAAGGGCGAACTTTCAGTGTGGGAAACAAACAGCTTAGTAAAAACCCCTAACCCGCTAATATAAGACATTTTTATATTTCTTGCTTTATCTAAATTTCTTATATTTTGGAACGTTCTCGAGAAAGCCATTAAAACTCAGTTGTTGTGGAAGCTGCACAAATTTTCAGAAAACAGTACAAAAAGCAGCTAGAAACTATTTTTTTTATTTGGAAAAAAGCTTATTTTTTGCTTGTTTTAATTCAAACCGCGCCATTTGAAGCACTGTTTTCACACAAAATGTTTTTCTTTATATATAAAAATTTATATCGCTAGTTGCAACAACATTAAAACCCATAGTCTTGTAATTTTTCAAACTTACTCAATTTTCTATCAACCAAGACAGAAAATCAATTCAATAAAAGTCCATTAGGCATTTATTCGCCCATAAACTGCCTGTTTTATTTAAAAGCCCATGAACCATATTTCGATGGAAAACCTTTTATAATTATTATTTATCTGAAAACACCGCTAGTTCCGGGTTTTAATTTCAACATTCTCCTGCGCTCTCGAAGAAACCATAGGAGTACCGAGAAAAGTCATGTAAATAATGACGAATAATTAAGGTTTTTACGTAAAATTAATAATAAACTATACTTAAGAATTGCACCTAATTTCTTAATGACACATATAAATATAAGGCAGTCAATAAAAACGTAGGTATGGCGTGTAATTATTGGCTGTTATTTTCAATGGCAATTATAATAACATCCGCGTTAATAAAGATCAATTAAAATGCATTTCAGTGATATCGACATCTATCGATTGAAGTGGATTTTTTTGAACATTTACCTAACTACGAGGACTCATTAAAAGTACAAATTATTCTTCACGTAATTATCAATTACCTATAGAACAAGGTGTTAAAATGAACGCACACTAATGATGATGATTTTTTACCCAATAAATAATTATTATAAGCAGTTTGGAAGTATTTCAAACTAGAAGTTGGTTAGTTGCACAAATTGCGTAAAATAATTAGAGAAAATTTAAACAGAAAATGGAAACAGGAAAGGAAACGGACTATCAACTTGCACTGAACTAAGAGCTAATTACATCTGTAAGTAATAACATCAACAGCTCAATCCTTTATTTTTAAATGGCCTGTTTAGTAGCTAGTAATTACTAGTGCTAAATTAGTTTGTATAATTTCGCACTAATTTTATCTTTTCCTACAATACGAGCCTAATTAGTAGCAATTTTTAAAACGTTTTTACACTGCAGTTGAGTTACTGATTTTAAGAAAGAGGACAAATTTTATTGCCCAAATTAAGCAAACAAAATAGCCATTTTACAGCAATAAAATTATGTTTAATTAAGCTATAAAGCCGTCTGCTAGCTAAAGCGTCCACTATCACTTAAACGGATATTAAACTATATACTTTATAGGTGACAAACAAAATCACATGTAATAGAAAGGAGTTTGAATGCAACATGTCTTGGAAACATGTTTTTAAGTATCTAAATATTCTAGGCAAGCCATTAAATGGAAACAACAAGAAATCCTTGATGTAAAATTTAGCTTTGGCAAGCAGAATTAAGTTTCAAACAATAGTGCAAAAATCGACACTTTCACAAAAATTTCCAACAGCTATATGAGCATACATTTTGCATTAATTTGGCTATAAATGATCGTACTTGATCTGGGTTAATTGCTGTGGGCATATTCGCACAGATTGTTCTGTGTGTAAAATATTTTTGAACATTCTTTCCATTGAGTCAAAAATTGGTAATTGCTTTGCAGAGAAATTATAAACCGATTTGCTTGCTACAAAAAGTATGAAATTTGAAATTACCGGTGCATTCACTACCAGTGCAATCTATCATCATTTCTGGGAGATTGGAGTGATTTACCGGCTTCGATTACCGATTACATAAAACTAATCAAATAAATGCCTCTTACAAATCGTACAGAGACAAAGCAACACATTGATGGAATAACTTGTACTTTTTTTCTTGAGCGTAAGCTAAATTAGTTTTCCAGTTTATTTCTTCCGCCAGCGTCGAAAATGGCAAACGATGCATTTCAGAACATAATTATTGCAAATAAAATAGTTATTAATTTATGAATTGCACATTATTAGACAGTAATTGGAATAGGAAAAAAGAGTAGCAGCATTCTAAATTGTTAATCCAGTGGTAATAATTTCTATAAAGCCTTTAGTATCTTGGAAGAACATTTTTGGTCTCAATTTACATCACAACTTTTGCAATGATTAAATATCCACCTAGTGATTATCTAGTGGAGCATATCTAGAACATCAGATAAAGCCTGCTTAAAAATTCCATGCTTTGACCTCTCCACTTTGCTAAAATCCGGCGTTAAACACCATAATGAAAATTGATATTTCAACTCAAACGTGAACCCACAGAAGGTTTAAACCTCCGTTTAAAACTGTAGGTAAGCGAATACGCTTTTCTCTTACGTATTACATCACTGCGTACGATGCGATTAAGTGAAGTAACATGGAATTTTAAACTTACTATAATACAATTGTTAAAACTGCAAAGGTAATTTATT